TACATCAGGCAGGGGGTCCTTCCCTGACCAGTCTTGATTAAAACCAAACAAACATGGACACCAGGTTTATCATGAACTTCCCTGGTGGGCCACATTTCCCATGCATTACGACAATGTATTGCTGGAGTAATTAAGTTCATCCTGTGTGACACCTTGAAGGAGGGACTCTTGGAAGCTGGTACCTGGTTTCACGTGGACTTCGCTCCCTGTACCTGTTCCCTTTACTACGCTTTCTTTGCATCCTTTCCCGATAATAAATCAGAGCTGCGAGTATGGTTACATGCTGAATTCTAGCAAATGTTCTTCTAGCAAATCACTGAGCCTGGGGGTGGCCTTGGAGACCCCCAACGTGGAGAGTTATGAAGAGTTCAGGAGTGTGGCCCAAGTTACAAGACACTATGGGCTTATAACAGGATATACAGTAATGGAGCCTCTAAGGAATGTCACTTTGAAATCAAGACAATTGGAATGTGGACTTGTGGTGACCGGCACACTGGGGAGGACACTGCAGGAAACGGTCCAGTGAAGGCAAGGATATGAAACCTGTACAATCCTTTGTCAACATTGGCTTCTCTGGCTTGAATTTGAGACTTTGTTTTGCCTACTTCCAATACACTGGCAGGTGCCATGAATTCACCAGACTTCTCTAAGATTCTTTGCAATTCAATCTCCTGGGGGTGCCGTTGCCCCAGCACCCAGAATAATCACAGCTCCTACTTGAAGAGAAACACCAACTCCAGTGCCACTGAGTCCAGTCGCAGTGAGACCCTGGTGCTGCAGGCCTAGCAACATCAGTGACTGACAAGTGCAGGTTAAAGAAGCACTAAGTCGATCCCAGCTCTACACAGATGGCAAATGCCCTTTCTCTTTTCTATTCTCTTTATAGTTTTCAAAATTAAGAGACCCATTAGTCCATGTAAGAATTTGTTCTCCATTAGAAATAAATTGAATTCATTTTCAGAACACAACTGAATATTCATGATCAGGGACCAAGTGATTCCTTCTGCTGATACACGACCTGTTTCCCTGACATGGCCACTTCTTAACATCATGCATTTGATCCTCAGACTCCACCGATGGGTAAGACTTTTCTCACTTGCCTCCCATGAAACCTGGCGTGCAGAAGGCAAGCAGGGATGGGCAATAGGACGTACTGGCTGACTGATGAGCAAAGACTCTAGAAAAATGACTACTTTATAACAATTAATAAATTTCTAAACTCTGCCAGTGGATGAACAAGTTAAAAAGCCATTCAGAAGAATTATTAAGATCACAAATTAAGTCATCTCTATGGACTCTATAGCAGGAAATATATTTTTAATGAGGAAATTGAAGCTAATATATAACAGCTGTCCTATTACCCAGTAACTGAGCATTCGGGCAGGTTAAATTATTAATGAAAAATGGGGCAACTCAGAAATTTAACCTTTAAGCACTCTCTCATTCCTTTCTCTTTTACATACAGTTGAAGCTGGTAGTTAACACACACGCGTGCGCACACACACATTTGGTCATCTTTGGCAGTTTGTACTGATCATTTTCTCTGCCCCTCATTAGCTGTGGAATCCTCAGTGTGCTATCAGCTCCCTTCAAAACTGGGGACGGGAGAGAATGACAAATTCATAGGGTTGAAGACAAGATTAACTTAAATATAAGAAAAGTGTCAAAATCAGGCCCTGGTTTGCTGTGTATTTTCAATAATGACAACTATCGTTTAAACCATGAAGATTTAATAAGTAAATGTTGATGGCACTAACATCCAAAGTGGGCATTCAGACTAGATGCCCAAGTCGAAGTGGTTGTCGTTAGGGGCCATCGAGTCGGTTCCAGCTCAGAGCAAGCCTACATACCACAGAACAAAACACAACCCGGTCCTGCGCCATCTTCACAATTGTTATGGTCGAGCCCGATGTTGCAGCCGCTGCGTCAACGCATCTCCATGGAGGGCTTTCTTCTTTTTCGTTGTCCTTCCATGTTCCCTCCTCCAGGGACTGGTCTCACCTGACAACACATGTCCAAAGTACGAGATAAAGCTTCACCATCCTTGCCTCTGAGGCTCATTCTGGGTCACCTTCCAAGACAAATCTGTTTGTCCTTTTTCAGTCCCTGGTATTTTTCATCTTCTTCACCAAGGTCATCAGAGTACAAATGCATCGATTTTTCTTTAGGTTTCCTTATTCAATGTCTAACTTTCGCATGCATTTAAGGTGAACGAAAACACCCTGGGTTGGGTCAGATGCACCTTAGTCCTCAGACTAAGATCCTTGCTTTTCAATACTTTAAAGAGGTCTTGTGCAGCAGACTTACCCAACGTAACACAGCCCCTGCTGCTTCCAGGAGCCTAGATTGTGGATCCAAGCAAGAGGAAGTTCTTGACAACTTCCATCTTTTCCCCTTTATTATGATGTTACCCATTGGCTCAGTTGGAAGGATTTGGGTCTTATTTACATAAAGTTGTAATCCATACTGAAGGCTGCAACCCTTGACCTTCATCAGCAAGCGCTCAAGTCCTCCTCACTTTAGCGACCAAGGTTGTTCCATCTGCATATCACAGGATGCTGAGTTCTTTTTCATATAATTCAGCTTCCCTAATTATTTGTCCAGCATCCCGACTGAGTAAGTATGGTGAGAGGATACATCCCTACCACACGACTTTCCTGATTTTAAACCATGCAGCGTGTCCTCATTCGGTTCCCACCACCGCCTCTTGGTCCACGTCCAGGTTCTTAATGAACACAATGAAGTGTTCTGGAATTCCCATTCCTCTCAAGGCTATCCATAGTTTGTTATGCTCCACACAGTTGAATGCCTTGGGATAGTCAATAAAACACAGGTAGACATCTTTCCGGTACTCTCTGCTTTCAGCCAAGACCCATCTCATATCAACAACAATCTCCCTTATTCCAAGTCCTCTTCTGAATGCAGCCTGAATCTGGGGTAGAGCCCTGTCATTGTGCTACTGCAACCTTTGTTGGCTCATCATCAGAAAAATTTTACTTGCATGTGGCATCAATTAAATTGTTGTATAATTTGCACATTCTGCCGGGTCACCTTTCTTTGGCATGGGTACAAGTATGGGTCTTTTCCAGTCAGTTTACCAAGTAGGAGTCTTCCAACTGTTTTGGCATAGACGATGGAGTTCTCTCTGGGCTTCATCAGTGAGTTGGAACCTTTCAATTGGTAGTCCATCAATTCCTGGAGCCTTGTTTTCAGCTAATGTTGGTGTTTTTGCAGCATGGATTTCTTCCTTCAGCACCACTGGTTCTTGCTCTTGGGATGGTTGGATGCCAACTGTTCTTTCTGGCACAGTGACTCTGTGTATCCCTTCCGTCTTCTTTGGACGATCCCTGCATTGTCCAGTTGTCTGCCCATAGCATCTTTCAGAATTGCAATTGGAGGCTTGAATTCTTTCCTTGAGTTCTTTTCGATTTAAGATTTGCGGAACATGGTCTTCCTCCAGGTTGCCAGTTAGAAAATGAGTCCTACCCACATCCAGATATCCTGGGACCACTGACACAAGGTGACCCCTGATACGATCACCCAGAAGAAATATTTAAACTTTAAATTAAAATTGCCTTTGGAGCTCATCTTTGAACCAAATCACAGTTTTGTCAACTTAGAAAAGAATACTCGTGTTAAGCATGTGATGCTTTTAAAAGTATTTTTGCTGTGAATTAGGTGGAGCTTTATCGATCAGTTCATCTTTCCTGTGTTCCACAACTTGAGGAATGCATCAGCCCTCTTGGTAGCTTGTCCTGATCTTTCTTTATTTCTATTTCCCTTTTATCAGATATTCTCTCTTGCTTCATCAAGCTGCAGAGCCCTGGTGGTACAGCGGTTACATATTGAGTCGTTGATTACAAGATCAGCCATTGGAAAGCATCAGCTGCTCCCGGGGAGGAAGATGAGGCTTCCTTCTCAGCAAGCCACCTGGGCAGTTCTACCCTGTCCTGTCAGGCTGCCATGAGTTGAAATCAACCCAATGGCAGTGAATTTGTTTCCCCGTTGACACCTGTCTACCTTCTACCCTATTCCTTCCCCTCCCCATCTTTCCCTTCCCATCTCTGGTAACCACCACAGTCTGTTTCCATTGAAGCACTATACTCCCTCAAAGAATTAGCTACACGTGATCAAATGGACAGCAGCAAATTGAAAGGACTGCTGAGCATCTTCAGGAAGCAGTGAGCTTGTCTTAATGGCGGGGTCGGAGTTTGGGAAAGGCTGTCAAGAAAGGTGGCAGAATGTAAGCAATGTCACTGCATGTCACATGCGGAACGTGTTGAGGTGCTATATGCATGTTTTGCCATGCAAGCTTTAAACAAAATTTTACAAAAGAGACAGAATTCCTGTCCAGGGACCTCCAGTCATCCCAACCCTCCTCTAAGACATCTAGTCTTCTTGACCAAGTCAACGCCTAAAGGGATTACGCTTGGGCAGCTGAGTGCTTCCAGGAACCACGTGATCACACCCGTGCCAATCAAGACCCCACAACTCCTGCCTTCTTGGACTGGTTACCTAAATCAGTCGCACCAAACCCCACTTAGAGACCTAGGAGCAGACAAACAAATCACGCTGACACGGGTCATTACAATTGGGCGCTTCCTTTGTTAGGCAGCCACAGCTAACTCTAAGAACGAAGAAAATATTCTAAACCGGACGGTGGTGATGATTGTACAACTCATTTTGACGTAACTGAAGTACAGAATTGTATGCGCTGTGAATCAGATGCCAATACGACGGTTTCACAAACGGATGATCCATTAGTAATTCAAGAAGCAATGCCTAAGTTAATATTACCAATAATGTTCCAGAAAAAGGAAACCTTAAGAGGAAATACGTGGGAAAAACAGAAGGGAAGAGAAAAAGTTGCATTAGCACCCCCCCACCCCCACCCCACCCCCTGAATCCTGTCTTCTGCAGTCTCCAGGACTCCCTGGGAACCAACAGAAGGTGGGCACAGACGCAGTTTGGGGGGCCGGCACAGGGTGCTAGGTACTCACGTTGGTGTTACACATCTTGTACTGCCTGTAGGCCCCGATGCAGGAGATCGCTGTAGAGCGAGCAGGCTGGGAGAAGATCTGGGTGCCCCGGCGGGATCCCACACCATGATTGCTGTTCGCTTCTGAGCCATGGAAGAGATTTGGGGCGGCAGGGAAGGCTTGGTCGTTTGTCAGAGGCAGCTGGTAGATAGAGCCCTCTGAGGCGTGCAGTCCAGAGAGAGGGCCATTGTCACCGAGAGAGCCATGTTGGGGAGCCCGGCTGGCCGGGGAACTGTAGCCACGTCTAGAACCAGATGCTCCCTGAGACCTGGAACGTCGGGCTGAGGGCCTCTGTCTCCGAAGCCTCTGCGGCCGATGTCCAGTGTCTGTCTGCAGCGGTAAGATGTACGGGGCCTTGCCATAGCCGTACTTGCCAGGGCCAATGGGGCCTCGGGTCCTGCTCCTAAAGAGAAGGAACAGAGAGGGAAAGAGTCACGGGTCTTCTCGTGCAAACCCAGAAGCACTGGTCCTGGCAGAGGGGGGTGGGTAGACATGGAAGCTGGAGAGAGAGCCTGCGTTGCCAGAGAGAGTTGTAAGAAGGGAATTCCAGTAGAGGGGAGCACCGCAGACCAAGGCCCAGGGGCGGGAAAGTGGGGAGACAGTGGGCATCAACGCTAGGCGAACAGAAGAGGATGGGTGAGATGGGAAAGGTTACAAAAGCAAGCTGCCATCAGTGTGATCTGAGAAGGTGCCAGTCGTTGGTCTGAGGGATGGAAAGTCCAGGTTGTGATGCTCAGTGGCAGGACTGAGGTAAGTCATCCAGCGCAGACCGACTTGTGAAATGACCGAACTGGGTGAAATCACTGCCAAGGTCGCCCCAGCTCTAACAGTATACGCTTCCATAATAATTAATTCTGCATTGATGTAACGTTGGAAATGTGCCCGGGGGTTTCTACGGGATGGCCCCATTAAAATAAGCGCATTAAAACAGCAATCAAGGTGAAACACTGATTTCTGCCCTTGCGAGGAAATTCTTTCTTCACGCTACATAACCACTGAGAATAAATTTTAACAGACCACAATGTAATTATTAACATCTTTATCTCTAATTGCACCTTCGTTCTTAGCTGATAGGGTTGGGAATTAAACCATGGTGCAGTGTTTATTTTGCCTTTAGGCATTTCTCGATTAATTTTGGCAATACTCAGGATTTTATTAATAATCGGGGATCCAACATGCTGCTTTAAGAGATGCAATTAAGAAGTTAGTCTTAAAATATATATACATATATATAACTTGGATGTAATTTGCCTTTTCCTTCTTGTGGCAGGC